GTTCGATTCGCCCATGCTCGGATACGACGCCATTGAAGGGTCGATGGATCGATTTGGGTTTTGGTTTTGGTTTTGATTTTGATTTGATTGGGGATTTGGGTTCAGGGGTTAAACCCTAGCCCCTTGGTCCCAGGACCCAGTAACTCAACCTAATTTTTGGGTCGAGAGCTGGGTTAGAGCCTCTCCAACAGCTTCTCCAAAATTTTCTTCAAAATAGGGAAGCAAAAATCATATTCTTCAACTAATTTTTACACCAACTCCAACAGCTTCTCCATTTTGAAGAATCTATTTTTTTCCTCCAAAAATTTGGAGAATGCTGCAGATTTGGGGAAGCTTCCCCATTTTTTCTCCTTCATCCCTATTTTGGGGAATGAGATGGGGAATCTGTTGGGCCAAAAATCTAACTAAATTCTCTAAAAATAAAAAACGGGGAAGCTGTTGGAGATGCTCTTAGAATATTTATATAGCCATTGACTTTAGCGTTAATTGCGCACAGACCCCTTAGTATTACGAGAGGCACTAGCGGCACACCATTTACCACACCTCCAACCACACCATCTCTCTCGCTACAGTGCACCGGGCCCACATGAGATTTTATTAAATAAAATCTCATGTGGGCCTGGTGCACTGTAGCGAGAGAGATGGTGTGGTTGGAGGTGTGGTAGAGGGTGTGTCTCTATCATTTCTACATTATTTCTCAGTTGCAAAGGAATCTCCTGTAGCTAAAGTTGTTGTGAAGAGGTCCCCTCTAGCATCGGCACGAGTGCAAATACGCCCTCCTTGTAAACTTTTTCGACTTCTTTAAAAGTCCAAAAAAGTAGAATCGGATATCTATGCTCACTAATAGTATAACATAAGAGGTCTCTTTACAATTAGGTGATATTAAATGGTTTGTGTTTGCAATTAACCCTTGATTTTATTCTAATCCTGTTATTAGGGGTTTTTCCTAGAAAGCACTTTAAAATAGGGTCATTTTATAGAAACTTCCTCTCATCAATTTGTATATAAGCCACTTTTAAGCTATTATTTATTACAATCAACCACCTACACTCACTTTTAAGTTTTAACTCAGGTTTTTTCGGTTTTGTTGTAATAATTAATTTTTAGATACCAAGTATAATTGATGTCAATTATCAAACATGGAATATTTTTGCAGGTTTGTGGAGTGATTAAGGTCCTCTAACTCCTTGTGATGTATGACTTTAAGGTTTTCTGTTATTCCCTGCATAAGAAAGAACTCGTAAGAGGGTGGAGTTGGGTACTCCGGTTTTTTCTCCGACGATCAAGTTAGTAGGTGATCTTGAGTGGGGAAATATAGAGTTAACTCTTAGATGTATCAAAAAGGCCAAAGAGAGTTACCTCACGCAGTTCCTCTCATTTTTATAGTGGATCTGAGAGGGAAGAATGTAATTTTGGCCGAGTCTAGATAGGCAGTTGAGTCGACAGACATGTGCTACGTGTCGGTTAATGAGGATGAATTCAGTTGAGGAGTTCGTTGGTGAACGCCGCAAACTGATGTTGTAAGGATTAGGTGATGTAATGAGCGGATTCTTTCAGCTAGGCTTGAGTGACGTAGCCCGCATGTGGCTCTTCAGGGACTGGATGGGCAGGCCTATGCTCAGAACCAAATATCGTGATCGAATAAGAAAGAAAGAATGCCCCACAGTGGGCGCCAAACTGTTGATGTCAGTCACCAAATAGGGAATAATTTGCAGGCTTGTGGAGTGATTAAGGTCCTCTAACTCCTTCTGATGTATGGCTTTTTGGGTTTTCTGTTCTTTCTTGCACAAGAAAGAACTCATAAGAGGGCGGAATTGGGTTCTCTGATTGTTCCTCTGACGATCAAGTCGGTAGGTGATCTTGAGTGGGGAAATATAGAGTTAGATTTTAGTTGTGTTAAAAAGACCTGTAAGTTGGCTAAAAGTTACTGCAGATAGATGATCCTCATCAAACAGCGATGATGAAAATTATAATTTGACGGCTTCTAGAAGGCTATAACTTAAAAACTTTCACGTAGATTGATGAATGTTACTGTTTGGTAGGAAAACTGAAAGAAGAAATTAAGAAAATGAATTTGTATTATTCTCTCTAACAGACTTAGAAAAAAATTAATTACAATTCTCTCAATATAATTTCTCTCTAACAAACTTAGAAAAAGAAATTACAATATTCTTGTATCGGATTCCCGATTTACTAAAGAGAGAAAGATCGATGGAGATTATTCCCTTTGTTTAAAACTGGGTTCTTCTTGGTGTCGATGGAATGCCTTCCTCGATATTCGTGTCGAGTTTACTTTTCGTTGACGATCTGAACGTTTCACTTCACTGGAACACGGTTTCTTCCTTTTGATTGATGTTGAGGAGAACTTGCGTGGCAAGTTTGAAAAGAACTCTTAACGAGTTTCAGAACTCATGGCAAGTTTAAACTCTGTAAAAGAGTTGATTAATTTAACCGAAAATCGGTTTCAAGCCAAGAACAAACTCCTTGTTGCTGAAATTGAAAATGCCCTCAGTTGAAGATGAATGCCGAACTTCTTCTCCCCAGTTCCGATCAAATCAAGATCTTTTTTAACTCAATTGAGTTTCGGATTTATAAGGGGGTTAAGGAGTGTAACCATCCTTTAATTTGCTCCTTAATGGGGCCTTAATTACCCCCATTAATCGGGTGTAACAGTCCCTTAAACCGCTCCCCAAATCGTGGTTAAAAAACAGTTTCTGGAACCGTTTGAATCACATTTGAATGAATCAAATGCAGGTCCTGCGTTGCTAGGCATGAATCCTGTGTTCGAAGGTAGCGTTTGAAAGCTGCGTTAACAGCTGGATTTGAGTTGCGTCTATGGCTGAACGCTAGAAGTTGCGTTAGTGATTGATAACGCTAGAAGCTATGTTAGCAGCTGGATTTGAGCTGCGTTTGCAGGTTGATAACGCAGTGGTTGCGTTGCTTTGACTTTGGAACGTGACCACTTGTGTTTCATTTCTAGGATGCAGATATGAGTTCTGCGTCTTAGATTGAAGAGATCGTTGACTTGTAATCTCTTTTGTCAGAGCGTTGCAAATATTGTCATTTTGTAATCTTTGTTTTAACTTCTTGAATTGTGAGAGTCGTCAGATTGTAACTCTCGCCATTGATTGTGAAGATTGTTGAATTAGAGCTTTCATCGGTTGTCATGAAGATCGTCAAATTGTAACATTTCTCGATCTACGTAAAAATATTCCAATTGTAGCCTTTATTTGGTAATGTGAAAGTCATTTAGTTGTAACTTTCATTGTTGAATTGTTGATGCGAAAATCGTCAGGTTGTAACTTCCATCATTAGTGTTTAATGGGGATCAGTTATCTACAGTGATTTTTAGGCAGCTTATAGTTACAATCTGACAACCTTCACAACAACCGATAAAAGCTCTAATTCAACAACCTTCACAATCAACATCGGGAGTTACAATCTGATGACTCTTATATTTTTAAGGAGTCAAGACGAAGATTATAAGATGATGATATTTACAACGCTCTAGCAAAAGAGACTACAAATTGACGGTCTCTTCAATCAAGACTCAGAGCTCACCTTTGCGTCCCGGATTCAAAACGCAGAGGTCATGCTCACGTTTCAGATTCAAAACGCAGAGGTCGTGGCTGCGTTTCAGATTCAAAACGCAAAGGTTGTGGCTGTGTTTCAGATTTAAAATGCAGAGTTCGTGGCTGCATTTCAGATTCAAAACACAGGGCTCACCACTGCATTTCTAGCCGCCAGTGTAGAGCTCAACTCTGTGATCCAATCCCAGAATGTAGAGTTCATGCCAGAACGTAATTTTTGCATTTGACTTGTTCAAACACGAGCTGAATGATTTCAAAACCATTTTCCACGATTTGAGGGGATTACTCCCCCATTTAGGAGCGAATTAAGGGGGCGATTACACCCCTTAACCCCTATAAATGGCGGAAAACTCAACTGAGTTCGGGATCTCCAATTTGAATTGACTTTTTGCATCTAAAAAATCATATAAAAAGAGATCGGTGTTCCTATTCTTGGAGATCTTGGAGCGTCCTTCAACAACAAAGGTCTTGGGGCTTAGATCTTGGCTATAAACCGATTTTTGGTTAAATCAATTAACTCTTTTACAAAGTTTTTAAACTCGCTAATGGTTATTTTCAAACTTGACACGCAAGTTCTCCTCAACGTCAATCAAGAGGAAGATATCGTGTTCCAACGAGGTGAAACGTTCGGATCGTCAACGGGATACAAGGATCTGAACTCCCATCGACACAAAAAAGAACTCAGGTTAAACAAAGGAAAAGGGTCTCCGTCGATCCCTTCTCTCTTTTGTAATCGGAAAACTGATTGAGAGAAAATATAATTTCTTTTTCTAAGTTGTTAGAGAAAGATTACATTGAGAGAATTGAAACTCGTTCTTTTTCCAAGTCTGTTATAGAGAATAATACAAATTCAATTCTTCATTTTCTTCCTCAATTTTCTCACCAAACAAGACCATAGAGAGTTACTTCATACAGTTCTTCTCCTTTTTGTAGTGGATCTGAGGGACAAGAAGGTAATTTTGATCGAGTCCAGCTAGGCAGCTAAATCGGCAGACATGTACTACGTGTCGGTTGCCGAAGGATGTGAGTCGTCTGGTCATTTATTATGGGAATGACAGCAGGTGCTCGATACTGACTGGGTCCGATAAGTCATAAAGGCTATGGGGGTTAGAGAAATGATGACTTTGTCAGAGCAATTAATACAAGGATAGACGGCTGTCGGCACAGGGTTCGAGAAAACTACCAACTCTTTTAGTCGCCCAGCTGACGGTCGACCATACATGTCGGCGGCTGATACAACGGGTCAAGTGGGTGTTATTCGCAGGGGCGATTTGGCCGGGTTGGACTACAAGTACCTTCGTTTGACTTGGTTACGCGAGATGTTGGCTGAACAGCTGGCCGAGTCGGGTGGCTTGTGGAATCAATCGAAGGTTTGGCCGAGTAGTACCGCTTTTTGTCTCGGTTATGTGATATGTCGGCTGAACAGTGGGCCAAGCTGAGGCGGAGATTATCTTCATCTTGAATTAGATGTATTAGGTATAGTGTAAGGCACATGGTGATTGCTATGTGGAGATTAGTATTAGTATGTTTTAGGAGTGTAACAAGTATATTAGAGAGATCATGATCAGTTACCAAAAACATTAATTGAAAAGTGGGCCTACATGGTTTATTGCCATAAAACCCCACCTAAAGATGATTTATTTGCAAACTAATAGTGGTCTGCATGAAAAGCCTCTTATAATTAGTTTTTTTTAAGAAAGAATTGATGGTAAGTAAATTTCGACAGATTGCTGATCAACCCAAACCCGATTTTAATTAATCCAAACCCAACCCACTTAACAAGGTCTCAAACATACCAATTAAACAAACCGCCCCTAACATTTCGAACAGGACTAGAGATAGAGTTCCGATAGGACACGAACTCTCTTCTATAAAATACATCAAATTATGTCCTAAAAACATTCTTATTCTTTATGAATCAAGCGTCGCCACTTTTTTTTTTTTAACAAAATATACAAAACGCAACATTAATGGAGCTCCTACCGCGGACTGCCAACTTCTCCCCTCGCCCTCCCGCCCCGACCGCGAAAACGCCGAGTGTGCTACTCTACGACTCGACACATCGGCGCAACTTACTAGCTACCGGCAGGCCACCCCATGAACCCCAACAGGATCCGCCATGACCACTCCCCTGCAAAAGCTTACGGCCTCGTCCGCCCGCGGACCTGCCTCCGTCTTTCCGTCCCGCCGCGCCCCTGAGTGCGCCGCGACCTCCGCTAGGTCCACTCCGACGACTACGTATTGCGTGTCCTCCGGTCCGTTCACCCCTCGACACCAGCACGAGCTACCGGAGGGGGTTAGTCCCTGCGACGTTCAACTTGTTGGGAGACTGCCCGGTTCTTCGATCGGTCTGTACACGTTCTGCCAGAGTACGGCGGGGGTGATGGCGCGGCGAGGGAGCTGAGACGGAAGGGGCTCTCGACTCGCGATCACTGGTCCGGGGGGCTGCATTCACGCGAAGAAGAGCGGGGCGTCGGGGTTTTGTTATGTCAACGACATCGCGTTGGCGATCCTCGAGTTGCTCGAGGCGCATCAGGCTAGTTTTTGTCCGGTCTTTTTTACTTCTCCGGTTTAAATTAATACCTCATGATTAGTACTTAATTACTTTTTTCACGGTTGAGAGAGCGTTTCATTGCACGAGGTTAGGTTTTCGTTCGGTCGTTTTTATTTCTGGTTTGAATTTGGGTCATGAGCGGTACGAATCTTTCATTCACCAAAAGCTATGTCATAGAATTGTTATTAGGTCCTTATTAATTCGGTTCTCGTCTCTTGCCGCATCGGCTCTCGATTAAAAAGAGCGATTCGAAACAACCCGTAAGAATTGGCGGATCTAATAGCAATTTCGATAATTCAAGGGACTTAATTCGAAATACTAAAGAACGAGGGGATTATCATCATCGTTAAAGAAAACCGTGCCCAGCGTGGCTTTCTGTGGGTTTTAAAGGTAAAACTGGGGTATAAATAATTGACTAGCGTGAATATTTTTTTCCTCGCTGCTGCAGTAATTCCGGTTTTCATTGCTGTAGTATTTTTTGAATTGCTACAGAATTTTGTATCTGCTGCAATATTCCAGTGTGCTACAGTAATATTTTTTCAAAAAAACCTTGCACCGTCCAGTTTCCTGTTCGCTAAGGCCCCGTTTGGCAAAGGGTGAATGAAGATGGGTTAAAGAGAAGGATTAATGTACTTAGCCCATTTGATAATCCTAACGACTAAATTATTAACCCGTTAAATAAGTTTTATTTTAGCCCTTATGATCAGTTTTAGTGTTTGGGAATAACAATGATTTTGATTATTTTCTTTATAATTAGAATGATTAACTCTTATTCCATTTAAATAGGAGTATTAGTAAACCCCTTATTTTGAGGGGTTAACTCATTTTAACCCCTCTAGAGGGGTTAACTTAACACTTCTATATTTTTTATGTTTGGCAAATTATGGATTGTTAACTCACTTTAACCCTTATATAGATTTGTTGTGTTTGGCAGGTTAAGAAGGGGTTAAGTCTCCTTAACCCCTCACTTAACCCTTTGCCAAATGGTACCTAAAGTAATAAAGCTAGAGCAAATATTACTGTAGTGTTTACTGTAGCATGAATAATGAATCCTGGGTTGGGTAGAGGGGTAGATGCCAAACTAGCGAAACGGGCAGCTTTTGCAAATACCAATTCTGTGGGCGGCAAAATAGGAAAAGTACCCACGCGAATTCCAACTCGACACCAATCCCAGTCCAAATCGGATGGAGCCCTAATTCAAACCGGACCAGCCAGCATCATAAGATCCGTTTTAACGCCAAAAAAAAAAAAAAAAAAAGAAATCCCCGAAATCCCCCCAGCCCGCCCGGCGAGGACAAATGGAGTCCACCGGAAACCTCGCCGCCGGCGACCTCCACTCCCTCCCGTTCGATCCCCTCCCCTACGCCGGCCCAACGCCGCTGGTTCTGCTACTTCTACCCCGACCCCGACGCTCGGCAACTACTACACGGCAGGTGCCCCCGGCTGCAAACCCCACAGGACCGCATGACCCAACTCCCTCCCCACCACTACGGCCCTCATAGGCCCGGCCTCCCCACCTCTTCCGGCCCAACCCGCCCCGGCACCGACGACCTCGCCGCTCCACTTCCTACGACTACGTCTCGCTTCCTCCCGGTCCGTGACCCCCGACACGCAGCACGACCACCAGAGGTCCCTCAAGAGGTTCAACGTCTGCGAGGACTGCCCGGTCTTCGACGGGCTGTACGAGTTCTGCCAGACCTACGCGGGGGCCTCGGTCGGGGCGGCGGTGAAGCTGAACAAGGGGACCTACGACATCGCCATCAACTGGTCCGGGGGGCTGCACCACGCCAAGAAGTGCGAGGCGTCGGGGTTCTGCTACGTCAACGACATCGTGCTCGCCATCCTCGAGCTGCTCAAGAAGCATGAGGTGATGAGAGTTTGGGTCTGTTTCCGTTTTAGGTTTGGCGGCTTTTATGATTTAGATCCGGCGCGTTGTGAAACCTTTGTGCTTTAGATCACGACCCTAACCCTAGACCTACTCCCCCCATACCCGAAACGAACATCGGGGATCTTTGAAGGGGAGTTATGATATTGCGATTAATTGGTCTGTGGAGTCGTATCATGCGAAGAAGTGCTTGGCGTCGGGATTTTGTTATGTTAACGATATTGTGGTTGTCATTCTTGAGTTGGTTAAAAGTATGAGGTGGTGAAATTTTAGGTTGATTTTGGGTTTAAATTAGTTCATGAGTGATATGGTATGAACCTTTTCATTGGATACTGAATTGAAATATGCGGATGCTACTAGATCATAAGCATTGTGAGACCTTTATACTACTAAATATTGATCATAACCCTAACCACTTTGAGGACTACATCTCCTTCCTTTGATTCATTACCTCGACAACCAAAACGACCACTAACGATCCCTTAAATGATTCAGTGTGTGTGAAGATTGGCCGGTCTGGCATTGTCACTAATGAATCTGTTTTGTGCCCTTTGTTTTCTCTTTATGAGGTGTTACTTTGGCTACCTAGATTGCTATTTCCATTGTTTAAATGTGAACCTTAAACTTTTTAATTGGAGATGATTCGGAGAAAAAGTTGAGGAAGTTTAATCATGTTTGTAGGCATAGTATTGGTAAATTAGTGCTTCCTCCTTTGGGCAAAAAGTAGAAGTTATTGTTTTCGGTGTTGTAAATAAAGTCATGATGATTCCGTTCGCTTCCACTATGATTACTATCCTTGATGTTCCAAAAGTTAGATACACTGAGAGAAGGCGAAATAAAGATGTTTTTTGTGTGTGTCAGTTGATCATTTTATATGCATGCATCATGTAAGAACAGACCTTATTTGTCATAGTTTTCATTATCAAGGGTTTCACTTTGATTGCTTTAACTTCCAAACCTTAAGAAACATACTGATCTCTTAATCTGGTAAGATAGGAGCTGGATTTCTGTGCCAGCAGAGTATGAGGGGAAGGCTGAACCTCTTGGGAAGTTTGATGAGGGGGAAATGGTTATGATTGAGAAATCTGTTATAACCGCTGCTGCTTATGGTATGCAAGAGTGTTTTTTTCTTCTTCGATTTTTTAGTTAATCAATAGATGTTAGAAGAGTTGGCTTTTATTGAGAACAGAAGTAGATGAAGGTTCACATAGGTTGGCAGCAAGATGAAGAGAAGACAATGCTGAGTATCCAAAGCTATTCAAAACATTACTTCAATGTAAAAGACTCTCCACCCTCAAAACTTCTGCTAAGCCATTTCCATTGATGTCACTTGACGAGAATTGGATAACCTAATCTTGGCCACATGATGTTTTCTTTATTGAATTGCCTTTCTGAATTACATGCAATGATGTCAGCTATCATCATATCTTTCTTAGTATACATTACTGATTTATTTGGGTCTACTTCGTTTTCTGATATATAAATTCTTCATATCTGTTGTCAGCGTGTTCTGTATATAGACATTGATATCCACCATGGCGATGGTGTGGAAGAAGCCTTCTACACTACTGACAGAGTAATGACGGTTTCTTTCCATAAATTTGGTGACTATTTTCCCGGAACAGGACATATACGCGACATTGGATATGCAAGAGGGAAGCATTATGCTGTAAATGTTCCCTTAGATGATGGAATTGATGATGAGAGCTATCATTCTTTGTTCAAACCTATAATAGCCAAAGTCATGGAAGTTTTTCAGCCTGGTGCTGTGGTGCTTCAATGTGGTGCTGACTCCTTGTCTGGCGATCGGTTAGGTTGCTTTAATCTTTCTGTCAAAGGCCATGCTGAGTGTGTGAGGTATGTGAGATCTTTCAACGTGCCACTCTTGATGCTTGGTGGCGGTGGGTATACAATTCGCAATGTTGCTCGATGTTGGTGCTACGAGGTAATATGCAACAGTTTGAATTTTCTATATATAATTTCCATCACCATGTTGAATTAGCGCATGTGCAGCTTTTCTCTCCCTAAGTCGGATAAATTCATTTCATGAATCAAGAACTCATTCCATAACATAGAAACATATACTTCTGCTGCTCTGCAGATAGTTACTGGATTATATTGGATGGCATGGCCTTAAAAGTTTGCAAGTTGCTAATAATTGAAATCATTATATCATTTTAAGTCATTAACTAGTAGCCATTAGCGTAAAATTTGTCCTTATATAGAAAGTTCATAAGTCCATTGCACTAATTATGTAATAACCCTACCATCACTACACCATGTTCTTGTTTTCTATAATATAATTTCCATCACCATATCAAATTAGTGCATATAGCTACTTTAGCCCCCTAAGTCATATAAATTGATTTCATGAACCGGGAACTTAGTCCTTAACATATAAACATATATCTCTGCAGAGAATAACTAGACATATTGGAGGACATAACCTTAACATTTTTGCTTGTTACTAATCATTGAATTCATCATTTTTAGTCATTAACTAATAATTGGTGGCCATTTATGTAAAATGGTTCCTTATTTAGAAAGTTTCACTTTTTCCCCTAAATTTATTTTATGATTTGTCCTCTATTTCTTACATGAAAACGATTTAGGCATCTACATGATTGACTGATAGTTTGCGAAAGAGTTGGTTAGTCAGGTGATGGACCATTTAGATGATCAGATATTTTTATTAGCTGTGTGGGGATCTCATGCATTGTGTACATGTCATTGATATTCCTAGTTTCTTATCATTACTATATAATTTCCTTCTGTCGCTATATTTTCCTAGTTTATTAATTGTAATATATTTTTCCTTTGCTTTTTTGATCAGACAGGGGTTGCACTTGGTATTGAACTTGATAACAAGGTGCCTGAACATGAATATTCAGGATATTTTGGTCCAGACTACAACATTCATGTTGCTCCAAGTAATATGGAAAACAAGAATTCACAACATTCATTGAATGATATAAGAGTACAGGTCCTTGAGAATCTTTCACAGCTCCAACATGTTCCTAGTGTCCAATTTCAAGAAAGGCCACCTGATACCGAGTTCCCAGAGGTAATTTTCTCACCATTTTTCTTTCCTTTTTTCCTTACTTTTTTGCCAGCCATGTACACGATGGACCCAGTTCCAGTATGACCTCATTCTCTGTTCATATCATCTTTGTTTTGATGTCATCTCTGGCTTGTATTAGTTGTATTTTGCTCTATAGTACATGTCCTTTTTTTCTTTTATTATAAGGATGTGTGGGGACTCCTTAAAATGCGAAAAGAAATTATATGTTCCTAAAGTTTATATCACTTCTTTTTTCTTTTTATTAGTTGTAGGCAGCTATATATTCGATGGATAATTTAATCCAATGCCAGCATGGCCTTGTGCTCCATCTCATATTTGTCTTGATATCATCTCTGCCAAGTGGTAACTATAATTTGGATGAATATTATCCTGTTCCGTTTTCTATCATAAGGCTGTAAGACACTACCTTTTAAGTGTTCAAAGAAATTGTCTTGTGTGCTCTTAAATTATTTGTCTGTATGTTTGTAATTTATGCATGCATGTATACATCAATTGATTGGTTGTCAGAAGATCTACTTTTGGCAAGTTTTGACTAAATTTTTTGCTACTATAAATTTCCATGAAAATTATGAACTGCAATGGATTCTGATGAAGGAATAGATACTTTTTTCAAAAGAAGCATGAGAGTATGAAAACTTTTTATTGTTTAGTCATATGAACACATATGATCATGTAGGATGATTGGAGAAAGGAAATATGTTTATGATTATTTTTAGTCATCTGAAAGACAATATTATTTACCATCATATTCCTTCCTGGGATGTGTTTAATGGCTAAGGTACATGGTCTTTTAGTGGAATTAAGTTCCCTTGAGCAAACCTGCCCCCTTTTCTTTCTTTTAGTCTCTTGCATAGTCGAGAACCTTGGCACTTGCTTGCTGGTGAGTAAATGAGAAGAAATGTATGGCCAGCATACTTGAAGGAGATGAATAGGGTTTAAAGCTATTCAAATGAAGGCTGGGAGAGCCAATCAAGGTTGTGTAACAAATTTTGGAAGGTTGCACCTTGGTTACATGAGCTTAAACGATAAAGATGACTAGTTAAACTTTCCTATTGGTTTTGTGGTTTACAAGGTTATATAGCAAGTCCCTCTAGTATATATACTTTCAAGGAAAGAAATCCACCACCACCACCAATGTAAAGAACTGATGTCAGGTGGGTCTGTTGGCTGCCAGTCAATGACAAATGACTAATTTGGGTTTCTTTCTTCTCTCAAGAATATTTCAGTTATTAGCCATTTGCAGGTTGGGGGTCCTTTGCGAAATTTTAGGGGTATTTTGTGAGAATCCCAAAGTTCAGGAGTGTTTCATGGGAAACCTCCCAAAGTTCTGAGGGAGTATTGTGAAATTTACTCTTCCTTGATGTATGGCCTTATCTATGGAGGTGTGCTCCAAAGGAGAGACTATTTTGATGCAAAAGATTCAGTTTCTGCTGTTGATATCTATTTGAATAAAAATCTGAATTGCCATATTAAAGCAAAGAGGTCTATGTTTTTTGGTTTCCAGGCTGATGAAGATGAAGAGGATTTGGACGAAAGAAATGATCCTGGTTATTATATGGAAATGGATGATTCTAATCATGCCGATACAACATGGTAGACTACTTACTGTTTTTTTTTTTTGCTTATTTAAGGTTTATATTTTTATTGCTGATATATACGTGCATGCTTGCAGCAAATCCCTTGACCATATTCAGGATGAGAAAGCCAATATGGATGTGGAACCTGAACTGATGGGTCAGGTAATTTAATGCTTGAATACTTCACTGCAACATATCCATAAATGATTTTTGTTAATAATATGCATTCAACATCTTTTTACTTTATATTTTTTATTTTTCGTGGTTTTAGAATCTAGGTACTTAGCAAATTTCTTCTTTTTGGATATTAGTCCTCCATAATATCAAATTTGGATATTAGTCCCTTACAATACGAGGCCTACATGATATTAGTCCTTTTCACTTTTGTGGTCTAAATCTCATAAGCAACCATGAGCCAAGACTAATCGAGACCGTTAATGACAACTTCCTCCATCCCAATTTCTCTAAATGTAACCTAGAAATAGCTGAATTGGCCATATTTCTCTAATGTAAACCATGCTGCAAATTGAGTGGACATTTGCTTCTTAAAGAGGAGATTTTTGTTTTTTTAATGTTTCTCAGATCTTGTTGTCCTTTGATCTTCAGGGATCTCCTAAAAAGGTCAATGAAATTGTTAAAGGTGTCGAGGCCATCACAGTGGCAATGCCTTCTAGCTCGAAGGTGAGATCATTGCAACTTATATATAGGTTAAATTCCACGAAAGTGCTGTGAACTTTGGGAGTTTTGCACAAATATAGCATAATTTTTTTTGTTAGAGAAAACTATTATGAACTATTGTCTATGATGTACCACACAGTTTTGTTAGAGAAATTTACCCACTTAAATATCAGCACAAACAAAAAAGAAACTGCAGGTTTCTTATAACGTTTCATCTGAATTGTTTTTGTGTTACCAGGTGTTCGGTGAGAATTCAGTCATTGCAGATGAGCAGAGCAGCAGAAAGGGACAACAAGAAGAAATGAACAGAATATATGGCGAAAAGCTTTGACCTTCGAACTCGCTAAATAATCGTTCTGTAAATGGATAGTTTTGCTGCAACATGATGCCCTCCGTAATTGAAAGGGATCCTGTTTGTTATATTTATGCAATCATTATCAGTTTGTGCTGATTTTGCATTTAACTGATAAATGATGTTCACCCTCATTAATAGATGATTTTTCCTCTCTTTTTTTTCTTTTTTGCCCAAGGCATGCAAGAAAATTTTGGGTGTACCTAGTTTTCTGTAATAACAAAACTAGTTTATACAATGTGCTTGGATTGTATATTGGCTTGTATTTCTCATATCTAAAGAACTAAAGAACTCTTGTTGATCCCTTAAACGGGATAATTTTATTCACATAGATCATCGTGAACGTTTGCAACCTGTGTGATGGGGAATGGACTGAGAGGACTCTGAGTCAAAAAGGTTTGGCATTGATTGTTCAAGATTAGAGAGAATCCGAAAAAATCGTCGCAGGGTGTTCGATCATCGGAAATCATTGGAGGGTGATCGTCAAACGGGCTGATTGATAAGAATATGGATTGGTGTCGAGACAAGGTACTGCAGTAAATTCAAGGGCCGCTGTCGATGATTTCTCTCTTAAAATCGAATGCCCATAGGCGAGTTTCCCCTCTCGTTGCCGATTTTGGAGGTTCTCAGGAGAGGAATTGTGGCAATGCAAAGAGGATAGACATAGATCACGTACGTGATGTTTTGTGATGTTGAAGTAGGCCAAACTTTAAGAGCATCTAGGTAAAGCTCAATGCCTGTTAGAATTGATATTTTGAGAACATAGTATTGTAGGCAATAAAACTTGCCTTAATTTCTAGCAAAGAAGCTCAAAATTAACAAAAAAAACGCTAATATCTCTAAAACCGTAAGGAATTTGGCGAAACGGACAGGAGCAAACCGAATCATTTGGGGTTGGTTTGATCGGCTCCGTCTCGTCGAGATAGTCGATTTTCATATATAATTCGTCCAATTCTGACTTACGGTTTGAAAGTTATGGCCCGTTCGTCACAACATGTTCTGAAGTCCGCCTGCAAGACTGGACTTCGCCTGAACATTGAAGTTCGCCTGCAATGCTAAGTCCGCCTGCAAGACTGGACTTCGCCTAAACATTGAAGTTCGTTTGTAATGCTAAGTTCGCCTGACAACTTAGCTCGCCTGAACTGATTGAAGCCCGCCTGACAACTTAGCTCGTCTGAACTGATTGAAGCTCGCCTGACAGCTTCGCCTACGAGGTTCGCCATGCAGCGAGACTCAACATCAAGAGATGAGGTTCACCACGTAGCGAGGCTCGACATCAAAGTTCATCACTGTGGACAAAGCTACTCTGGAAGATGAAACTCGTCATTGGAAATGAGGTTTGAAGCTCGTCACTGGAAACGAGGTTCGAAGCTCGTCATTGGAAACGAGGTTCGAAGCTCGTCATGGGATACGAGGTTTGGAACTCATCACTTAACGTGAAGCTCATTAGTGAAGATGAGGCTCGTCAAAAGGAAATTCACAAGACTTGCTACGCAGTTGGACTCAGCTATCGAAGACGAAGTTGTTAGATCTAAATCAAAACTTGAGATCTAAAAACCATATAGCCATGATTAATTCAAAGAGATTAACAATAATTAAAAGAGCGGAAGCTTATACCTGAATCCATGGATGAACCTTGAGATGGGTTTTGGATCTTCTAACCTTAGGGTTTCTCTAAATCCGAATTTCTCTAGCTAGATGGGGGTGTAGAGAATTAGAGAATGTAACCCTAGGTTAGGGACCATAACCCCTTATTTATAGATGTTGTACTTTTGTAATTTAGCCCCTCAATAAATCACAATTACAACCTGGTATCTGCACATATAACCCCATGACTTATTTAAATACCAAATTAACCCAACTTAATTGATCACTTTAGTGGGTTATCCTGAAAGATAGCAATACACATTGATTAATCATATGTGCCCACAATTAGATTTATTAGATTAAATCCAACAATCTCCCACTTGGGCACCATATGATTCCTTAAATTGTGTATAACCTTATGAGCTCAAAAATTGCTATCACTGAAAAGGTATTTCCGAACAATCTCGTCCATTGACTATACCAATATAGGATCAAAGCGGCCTTCGTCACATTTATCGTGACTCGACCCATCAATGGTCACATATACCAATACAATCAAATGACATAGATCAATCATGGATGTGCAGCATGAAAAATTACATGCAATGTGACCAGTACATGTCTATTTTCAACTGATCCTCCTTAGTGAGGTCAAAACCAAACATAATGTAACAGAGTGTCTTAACTGAAAACTTTATTCTGATCAGACAATACAACCAAACATAAAGCACCACAATTACAAACTCCCACTAAAACATAATATCCTCAAATAATACCACACCCATATGAGCAGTATGCTCATGAAAGACCTTGGGTGGCAATTCTTTAGTAAGAGGATCAGCTATCATGGAGTTTGTCCCAATGTGCTCTATGGATATCTGTCCACTCTGTACCCTTTCTTTCACAACCAGGAACTTAATGTCAATATGTTTTGACTTAGTTGAGCTCCTGTTGTTATTGGAATACATTACTGCAGATTTATTGTCACAATATAACCTTAGTGGTCTTTCAACATTTTCCAAAATGCGCAGTCCCGTGACAAAATTTCGCAGCCATATTCCCTGATTGGATGCCTCATAGCAAGCTACAAATTCTGCTGCCATAGTGGAGGAAGCTACTAGTGTTTGTTTGACACTTTTCCATGATATAGCTCCTCCTGCTAACATATAAATGTAGCCTGATGTAGACTTCCTGCTATCTTGGCATCCAGCAAAATCAGAGTCCGAATACCCAATGACCTCTAATTTCTCTGATTTTCTGTATGTGAGCATGTAATCTTTTGTTTTCTGAAGATACCTCATAACCCTTTTGACTGCTATCCAATGATCCATACCAGGGTTGCTTAAGTATCTGCCTAACATCCCAACAATGTACGCAATATCCGGACGCGTACATACCTGAGCATACATTAGACTTCCTACAGCCGAAGCATAAGGAATCTTCTGCATTTCCTGAATTTCAAGGTTACCTTTAGGGCACTGATTGAGACTAAACTTGTCACCTTTAGCAACAGGGGTGTCACCTGGTCTGCAATCTTGCATGCCAAACCTTTAAGTACCTTATCGATATAGCTCTTTTGTGATAATCCAAGAATACCCCAAGAGCGATCTCGATGTATCTGGATCCCTAATATAAAAGAGGCGTCCCCAAGATCTTTCATCTCAAAATTCTTTGATAGAAATCTCTTGGTTTCGTGCAACATGCCTATATCATTAGTGGCAAGCAAGATGTCATCCACATACAGAACCAGAAAAATATACTTACTCCCACTGAACTTGTGATATACACAGTCATCAACAATGTTCATCTCAAAACCGAACGAGATAACTATTTGTTGAAACTTATGATACCATTGACGAGGAGCTTGCTTGAGTCCATAGATGGATTTCCTTAATTTGCAAACCATATTCTTTGGGTCTCCTGACACAAAGTTTTCTGGTTGCACCATATAGATCATCTCATCAATGTCGCCATTGAGAAATGCTGTCTTAACATCCATCTGATGTAACTCAAGATCATAATGAGCAACAAGTGCCATGATTATTCTGAAAGAGTCTTTCGATGAAACCGGAGAGAAAGTCTCTGTATAATCAATGCCTTCCTTTTGAGTATAGCCTTTAGCCACAAGACGTGCCTTATACCTCTCCACATTACCGTTTGCATCCCGTTTGGTTTTAAAAATCCATTTACAACCAATTGGTTTTGCACATTCGATCTGGTAATGGGACAAGTTCCCAAACCTTATTGTCTTGCATAGACTTGTACTCTTCATTCATGGCATCAATCCACTGTTGAGAGTTAGAACTTTTCATGGCCTGAGAGAAGTTGATTGGATCATCTTCTAACATTCCACTACTTTCCTCATGTTCTTGGAGAAATACAATATAATCATCCGGAATAGCATTTCTCCTTTCTCTCGTGGATCTCCTTAATGGCACTGGTTCTTGAGGTTGTTGAGTTTGTTCTTCTGGAACAGGGAGTTGTTCAACATTATCATCTTGAGGTTCCGGATTTACTTCTTGAGCAACAACAGGTATAGGAACCTGAATATTGTCAAAAGTAACTGTATGGATTGGATCTGAAGCCAATTCCTCCTCAAAACTAATGTCTCTAACCTTATTTCTCCCCCCAAACTCAACATCCTCAAAGAATGTTGCTGTTCCCGTCTCAAAAATATTCCTTATAGTGGGATCATAAAACTTATAGCCCCTAGAGCGTTCAGAGTATCCAATAAAGTAGCTGCTAACTGTTTTGGAGTCCAATTTCTTTTCATTTGGCCTATAAGGCCTTGCCTCAGCTGGACATCCCCAAATATGTAAATGCTTTAAACTGGGCTTTCGACCAGTCCAAAGCTCATAAGGTGTTTTAGCAACTGCTTTACTTGGTACTCTATTCAGAATGTAAGCTGCTGTCTTAAGTGCTTCTCCCCAGAGTGACTCTGGTAAAGAAGAATGAGCAATCATACTTCTTACCATATCCTTAAGAGTCCTGTTTCGTCTTTCAGCTACACCATTCATGCTAGGTGAACCCGGCATAGTGTACTGTGGGACGATACCGCATTCCTCTAGGTATCTAGCAAATGGTCCTGGACGTTGTTCACCTGAACCATCATATCTACCGTAGTACTCACCACCACGATCAGATCTGACGGTTTTAATTCTTCTGTTGAGTTGATTCTCAACTTCAGCTTTATAGGCTTTGAACATGTCCAGAGACTCAGATTTTTCATGAATAAGATATAGGTGCCCATAACGTGAGTAATCGTCTATGAATGATATAAAATATTGTTGACCATTCCAGGATTCCGTAGGGAATGGCCCACAAATATCCGTATGTATCAATTCTAAGACATCCGAAGATCTGTTGGCACCTAATCTTTTCACTTTGGTCTGTTTTCCCTTGATACATTCAACACATACGTCGAAGTCCGAAAAATCAAGGGAATCCAAAATGCCATCAGACACAAGACGCTCAACTCTACCTTTTGAGATATGACCTAAGCGCTTATGCCATAATGTCGCCGAATTTTCCTTATTTAATTTACGCTTAGTACCACGTGATTCCACATGCAAGGATTCATTGTAAGAAGCAATTGTATCAAGCAAATATAGGTTGTCATAAATACTCAAGTAACCGGTTCCCACAACATTTGAATTAAAAGATAAACTGAATTGACTG